CCCCAAAACCCCAAAACCCCAAAACCCCAAAACCCCAAAACCCCAAAACCCCAAAACCCCAGCTACGATAAATTCAATTGAATAATTTTCAAATATATTTTATACAAATGCAGAAAAGTGAGGTCGAGAAAATTAACACAGAAGGCAAGGAGGAGGAAAGTTTTCAGCGAATGGAGGTCTGCTTTGGCAAGGAAAAGGAAGAACACAACCACCGAAAGGTGAAGAACTCAGTCAGGACTTCTAAGTACACCTGGATAACTTGGGCCCCATTGTCTTTGTTATACCAATTTACGCGTGCTGCGAACATCTATTTCCTTTGGATATCTATTCTAACCTGTATGCCTTTCTCTCCTAAAGCTCCAGCATCCATGATTGGTACCTTTTCAGGAGTGCTGATTTTCACGATGTTTAAGGAACTTTTTGAAGATTATTATCGTATGAAGAGTGATAAGCAGATTAATAATACTAAAACTCACATTTACAATTACGATAAGAAGGATTTCGAACAAGTGACTTGGAAAGATGTCAAGCAGGGTGACATAATCAAAGTCCAGAAGGATGAGTCCTTCCCTGCTGATATTCTCTTTCTTCACTCTAAGACAGATGTAATCTTTGTGGATACGATGAACCTTGATGGTGAGACAAATCTTAAACCCAAAGTCCTGGCTTCAAGAGAGATGGTTGATATTATTAAGAATGATGAGGATTCCAAGGGTAATGATGAATCTGAGTTGCCCAAATTTGATCTCTCTAAGATACATGAACTAAAGGGGAATATTGAATGTGAATTTCCGAATGAAAATCTTGAGCAGTGGGATGCCAACCTTAACCTGGACCATGGAGACAAGAAGCCTACTAATTTGAAAATAAATAACATTTTGTTAAGAGGCTGTCTGCTTAGGAACACTGAGTTCGTGCTAGGTGTTGTAGTTTACATGGGGAAAGAGACTAAGATTATGAAAAATGCCAAGAAAGCACCAAGAAAAGTATCGAATTTAATGAAGATGATGAATTACATGCTTTACACTGTGTTTATCTTCCAGCTTCTCATCATCTCTATTTTTGCCACGATCTCAGTCATCTGGATCAGCGAAGCAGGGAAGAAGTATGATTACCTAGATATGACTGATAAAAGCGTGGGGATTGGTACATGGTTCATCCAGCTACTTACTTACTGGGTCGCATATTCCCACATGATTCCTATTTCACTGTATGTTATCATTGAAGTCCTGAAGCTTGTGCAGTCATACCTGGTCAAATGGGATGACCAGATGTACGACAAGGAGACTGACCAGTTCGCCGAGTGCAGGAATTCAGACTTAGTCGAAGAGCTCGGACAGATAGATTTTATTTTTAGCGATAAAACAGGAACTTTGACATGCAACAAAATGATATTTAAAAGATGTAGCGTTGACGGGAAGGTCTTTAGCACTGATGATTCGGATCAAAATGAGGGGCAATCGACATCTACATAAACAACATAACTAGCAACCATGAAGTCGAGGAAACCAAGACGGATATGGCCAACAACAGTGAGTTGAACACTAGGTATCATCAATATGAAAGTCCATTAGACCTATCTCCTAGTTTAAGCTTGTTGGCCGAAAGGAAAGAACGAAAAGAGCTGACTGACTTTTTTAAGTTCATGACCTTATGTCATGCTGTAATGGTAGATAAAGACCCGGCCACAGGGGAAATCCTTTATCAATCAAGTTCACCAGATGAGACTGCATTGGTAAAAATTTAATTTAATCCATAGGTTGAAGGAGCTAAAGAAGTTGGCATCGTGCTCAAGAGTAGGACTAAGGAAACCATGACAATAGAGATCGATGGAAATGAAGAGGTCTACGATCTGTGTATCGAGTTTCCATTCGACTCTATTCGGAAAAGGATGTCAGTGGTAATTCATAAAAATGGTATTTACTACCTTCTCACCAAAGGTGCAGATAACATTATGAATCCAAGAATCTCATGGAAAGAAGATGAGCAGGAAAAAGTGGATTTCGACCTTCACCAATTTGCTACAGAGGGCTTGCGAACCTTAGTTATGGCACAGAAGGAGATCTCCAAGGAGACCTTCGAGGAGCTCAAGGGAAGGATCGATGAGCTTGAGTCCTCAGCTCTTGTAAATAAGGACGAAATGATTTTTGACTTGTATGACCAATACGAACGCGACCTTAATTTTATAGGAGCGTCTGCCATTGAAGATAAACTTCAAGAAAATGTTGCCGAGACTATTAGCGTCCTCATGGAAGCCAATATCCGTGTCTGGGTGCTAACAGGTGATAAGCAAGAGACCGCAATCGAGATTGCAAAGGCATGCCAACTGATCCAGGAAGATATGGAGGAAGAAATTCTTTCAATAGATTTTGACCACGCTAAAATTAAGGAACATGCAATCTTAATTCATGATGAAATGAACAAGATTTATGATAAATATGGAATAAAGTATACTGTAGAGAGTCTTGACGATGAGAAAGCGAAACAACTTAAGAAAAGAAAACGGATAACTTTTAATGAAGCTAAAAGGGTAATCTCTTCTCTAAGTATTGTCATTGACGGACCAACCTTGGGAATTATTCTTGGGGATGAAGATATGGAATTTGAGTTCTTTAAACTAGCAATGCTAGCAAGATCTGTAATCTGATGACGTGTTTCCCCTAAGCAGAAAGCATCAATTGTCAGGCTTGCAAGATACAAGGAAAAATCTATTTCTTTGGCCATCGGGGACGGAGCTAACGATGTCCCGATGATCATGCAGGCTAACATTGGGATAGGAATCAGGGGTAAAGAGGGCACACAAGCAGTCAGGGCATCCGATTATGCCATCAGTCAATTTAGATTCCTGAAAAGGTTAATTTTAGTTCATGGAAGGTACGGATATCGAAGAATATCATCTGTGATTTGATACTATTTTTATAAAAACATTTTGCTCGTTTTTACGGAGATTTACTTTGCAATTTTCTGTGGATTCTCAGGTCAGATATACTTTGCAGATTGGCTGCCAATGCTATACAACTCCTTATGGACCAGCTTCACATGATTCTTCGCATACTCATTGGAAAGGGATGTTTCTAGTAAGAAGTCGGAAAGGTCTCCACATTTGTACTCTGCAGGTCAGAAAAGGGAGTATTTTTCATACCTGATATTTTGGAAATGGATACTCTTGTCGATTTACCATGGCTTCATTGTCTATTTTGGATGTACTTATGGGTTCAGGTATATCGTGAATCTAGAGGGACATACAGAGACACTTTGGTATGTTTCATCCACTGCATTTACTATTATCATCCATTTGGTGACGATGAAGTTGATCATAGAGATTTTGTTCCTAAATTGGATAGTGATCGTCGCTGGTGTTGGATCTGTATTGCTTTATTGGGTCTGAGCGATAGTACTCAATGTATCTTTTGTTGCACAGCTTTTCCAACCTAACCTGGAAGGAATCTACTTTAGGATGCTCTCCTCCATCCCAACTCTTCTATCTTTATTCCTAATCCCACTAGTCGCCCTTCTTCCTGACCTAACTCTAAAATACTTCTCGCAACTATACAGACCATCGAGTTCGGACAAAGAAATTATGAAAATCCGTGAGACAAATAATCTTATGAAGGGTCTTAACTCTATTGCGCCTAAATGAAGGACTTTAGGAAGTTTGTATAACTCTGAAGGCAGGTTTTAGGTTGCGATTCTAGCTGGATGGGACCAACTATTAATTTATGTAATAATCCTTTATTCAAAAAGTTTTTAAGATCTTTTGTCTTCTAACTTCACAGAAAGGTTAATTGGGATTCATGTATCGAATTTATTGATGTAAGGAAAAGATAATTTGAGCAGTTTAGGCCACCTCAGCATTTTCAATCCGAATAAAATATAAAGGGGTTTTGGGGTTTTGGGGTTTTGGGGTTTTGGGG